GAGTGAGTTATCTAGTGTTCTGCCTGGCCATCCCTGCAGTGCCCCTGGGGCTGCTGCCTCTTTCATGTGGGCATTCTGGTTCCCTTTCTCCTTCTTCATTCTGGGGTTCCTTTGGTCTCTTACTAGCTGTCTCTTACCATCTTTTGCAGTCACTTTGCTCTTTCTCTATCTGGCTGTCTCTAACTGGTTAGTAATGTCTATGACTCTGTCTCCCTGTCTGAATGTCTATTCATTTATCTGCATGTGGTTTTTGTCTCTGTGTCTTTTCTGTGTCCCTCTATCTCCCTCTGTATTTCTCTGGTTCCCTGGGCCTCTGTCTGTGTGTCTGTCTAGATCAGTATGCTAGAGCGCATGTATTGAATGTGTGTATATTTTCTCTTCCTGGTCTCTCTGTTTCTTCCTGACTTTGGATGTCACCCCTCCTCCAGCCGGGCCTTGCCTTTAGGCCCCCCCAGCTCCACCCCCATCAGGGTCTCCAATGAGTCCTGAGTTGCCCGAGACCGAGACCTGTGTTCCAGCTTTCTTTGGGGCTAGATATCCGGCTGTCCAAATATTTGGCTGCCTCCAGGGGATTCCGGGTCAGCAGGGAAGAAGATGGGTTGGCTGGCGCAGGGTCTCCCCTGCCCCTGGGGGGCCATGGTCACATGATGTCCTGTCCTTTGCCTCAGCTGGGCCTCTGGCTGCACGTCCCTCTCAGCAGGCTGGCAAAGGAGTGGAGGAGGGGCTGCTGCTGGCTCTGGCCTGGTCTTGAACCCAGAGATTCTAGCTATAACTTCCACTGGAGGCGGCCTGATCATAGAAAGTCCAGCGCTGGGTGGGAGGCAAAGCTGAGGTGTACAGTAAGCACCAGCTGGATGTCTAGGAAATGTACCCTGTCACAGGAAAGTCTACCTTCCGGCCCCAGCTGGACCTCTCAGATCTCCTAGGCACCTCCGGATACTGAGAACACAAGCACAGACCCCATATCTCAGAGTCAGGGAGCTGGGGGTATGAGGGATTGGTGTGGCCAGATGTTGATCTTGGTCCATCAGCCTTTCCCTAGATGTACCCTTATGTGTGTCACTCCCTCAGGACCAGTCCAGTGTCGACTGCACACTATCCACTTGGGTGGTGTCATATTGTGTTATCAACAGTGCAGGAGTGGCTGATTGGAGACTGGGATTTACTGAGATCAAAACATGGAGTTGTGGCCTAGAGGAAGGGTGAAGGGTGTTTCTTAGTTTTCTTTCCTGTTCTAGTGGCCTCCCACTTGTTCTAACCCTCACGCCAGACCTCCACACCAGCTCCCTACAACCCCTGTGTTTGTCCTGGTCTGGTTTTTCAGAGGAGGTGTCTTTCCTGGAAGCCAAGAAGGAGGATGGTAAGGACAGGTCAGACTAGGAGTAGAAGCTGTCCTTACTCAGAGTTAATAACTACACACCCTCGAGCTTCTTGTCCTCTATGGGTTGAAAGCAGGACTTCCTAGACTCGGGAAGCCTGGGCTATTGCAGTAAGCTCCCACTGGTGCCTCTGGCCACAGGATCAAAAGAAGGTCAGAGTGGCTTCTCGCAGCCCACCACTGCAGCTCTGCTTGAGTTCCTGAGCACTGGGGAAGAAAGCAGGACTCAGAGTCCTAGAGACCCTAGGACAGAAGGCTGTCTTCTTGTACCAGCTGATGCAAGCAGCTGCCCCACCGTGGCCTGAATTCCTGGGCCTTTAAGTCTTAAATTAGCCAAACTCAACACCTGCAACATGTGCCTTCTCACTCTGTGTTGCCCATGTGGGAAGGTGTTACCTGCTGCACCATCGGGTGGTACCTGCCGCTCCTGGCTTTTACCTCCCAGCAGAACAAACAGGTCCCAGAGCAGTGGGTCAGGATATTGATTTGCTGCCTGGGCCCACACTTCACCCATGATGAAAACAATTCTTTCTTTTTTTTGGGGGGGGGGTGGGTACAGAGTGTTACTACACAGCTAAGACACGTAGTGATCCTCCTGTTTTCAGCCTCTCCAGCACTGGGATTACAGATGTGTGCCACTATGTCTGGTCTGATGAATACAATTCTGATGACCTATCCAAGGTCACAGTGGCCTCCCTACCCTAATGCCTGACTCTCCTCTGGGCACTCATGGCCTTCTCTGGGGGAAGAAAAGGCCCCAGGGAGTTTTCGCACTCTGTCTGCATAGGACCCCTAGATTTTGGGGATACTGAGGTTCTGACTTGGGAGTGTTCTGCGCATGGCCACACAATTGAGGCTATGGTTCAGCCTCACACTGCAATGGGCCAGGCTGTGCTGCAGCTACTTTTCTTCAGGGGCCCTACCCTGAATTCACCTGACTCCAGGGGTTAAATCCTGGCAGGCAGTAGGCCTGATGGAGGTTAAGGTGAAAAATGGGCTAGCAGGCTCAGGGAATGGCTGGGGTTTGCAACCCAGGCCAAATCTAATCTTCCACTGCCCCCTGCCCCAGCCCTCAGGCCTGCCCTTGACTACAGACCTTGGTGTTTAAGGCTTCACCAGGCATGTCTGTAGCCACAGAATGTCCATTCCAACATTACTTCATACCATACCTCAGGGCCTCTGCCCAAGCTCTGTCTTTTTCCTAAGACTCCTATTCAGCACCCAGCAATCCCTACAGGAGTGCTGGAACTGGTTTCATCCTTTCCTTCAGAAAAACCTCTCTTCACACCTCCTTCTCATCCAAACTGTTTTTCTTTTTCCAGTGCTGGGAATTGAATCCAGGGTCTCACATATGCCAGGCAATGGCTCTACCATTGGGCTGTAACCCTAGCTGCTGCCATTTCCCCTTTTATTCTCCCTTTTGTCTCCCCACCTTGGGCATTGTGAGTCCCAGTATAAAAATGTGACTCACATTCAGTTGTACAGAAGCTATAGGGTAGCATGAAAGGGTAGACTCAGAGTGTGTTTCCAACCCTTCCAGACTGGAAGCCACTGAGGAGTACTCCATTTCCCTCTGGGGCTGGAGAGTCAGCAATGACTGGCGGTAACAGCTTCCAGCTTCTCTTCTTCTTTTTTTTTTTTTTTTATATTTTTTATTTATATTTATTGGTGGAACCGGGGATTGAACTCAGGCCCTTGCACTTGCCAGGGAAGCGCTTATTCCACTGAGCCATCTCCCCGGCCCCATAGCTTCCAGCTTCTGAGTCTGGGCTTTCATCGTGCAGAGCAGATAGGGACCCTGACCCTCACACACCTCCATAGCCCTGCCCTGACAGCAGTGCCTGACTGTTAGTGTCCTGGGTCACCTCAGCCCAAGCCTGATGCACCCCTACTCACAGCAGCCTGAGCCAGCCAGGCCTCTGCCACTGCAGCAGAAAAGAGTGCTTTGTCCCTGCAGCCTACTCAGCACTCTGGAGGGCCTGTCCCAACTTGCCCTGGGCTGGGCCAGGCAAAGATGGCCTACAGCAGTGCCTGGGGGCACTCTGGAGGGACTCTGGAGACCCAGCACTGCTACCTGCATCTCAGATAGGGTGCTTGGAGGGACACTGATAGTACAGAGGCATGAGGGGAGAGACTTGTCTCTGGGAGGCGGGCTCAAGCAGAGATAAGGACATGGTCATGGGCCGGCTGGTGACCAAGGAGGCAGAGGTGGTTATGGTGCCAGGTGTGGGGTCTCCAGGACTGAGGTGCAGAGATCTGAGCTCTGGCTGGGACCAGTGGAAGAGAGGTCCTTTGGTCATGATATGAGGTCTAGGCCTGGCCTTGGCCTTATCTTTTCCACTCTTATCCCCGCCCCTTTTTTTCCTTCAGTGGGGCAAGTCTATATTGCTCACACTGAGCTTCACACTTGCAGTGTTCCTGCTTCAGCCTCCTGGGTGCTGAGATTATAGACATATGTCGGGGGCCTGCCCCTTAGCTCAGTTCTTTAAGTGGCTGCTTCAACAAAGCAGTCA